TTGCTTTAGGTGCCCTACCGCACCTTAAATTCGTTAGGTGGCGACTCTTCAAATTTTGTACTCAATTCCCAAAAAGGAAATGAGTTGTTCCCAATGAATGACGAAACCCGAACTTTGCGAGGAAAAAGAGGGCGCGACAACCTGCATTCAAATAATTAACGAGCATATCGTCTATATAAACTTCTATGGTCATCCTATCTATTTTTCAAACATCTTCTTTACGAGACGCTGATAAGTGGCTCCAGCATTTTATAGCCTGAAAGGCATCACATTATAGCAATATGTGCCAAAATTCATTATGAATGGAGTCTTTTCCTGCTCTTCCGAGTTTATCTTAATTTGGTTGTACCAAGAATAAGCATCGATGAAACTCATTAACTCATGCTCAGCCATTGCATCAATAATTTGATCGATGTTTGGCAATGGGAACTAGTCTTTTGGGCACATCTTATTCAAGTCCTTATAATCTACACACATGCAAAATTTATTGTTCTTAAGAACTACTACTACATTAGCTAGCTAGTCTGGATACTTTACCTCTCGTATCAAACTGATATCAAGTATGTGGGTTACCTTTTCTTTGACGAATTTATTCCTGGCCTCCGTAATAGGGCGTTTCTTTTGTCTTACCGGAGGGATGTTGAGATCCAAGCTTAGATTGTGTACGGCCACTTCCGTTGGGATACTTTTCATATCCGCATACGACCAAATAAAACAATCGGCATTATATTTAAGAAATTCAAGAAAGCCAGATCTGAGCTCGGGGTTCAGTACTGTCCCCAAGTTGAATTTCCTCTCCAAGAACTTTCGAATAATGCAACTTGCTCGAGCTCTTCCGCTGTGGTGTTTGTTGCATCCATCTCTTCTTGTACTTGGAAATATCTTGGAACCTGATAAATTTTGACACTTCTCCCCCTGGCTAACTTCACTCGATTCGGGAGTAGGCGTCAGTTCATGTAATTGTTATGTCGCATGCTCCTTCCCTTTGCTGCTGGAGACCGAAATCCCATTCATCTCCCTTGCAACCAGTTGGTCACCTTTTATCTGCTTCATTCCTTTGGGTGTTGGGAATTTCAGCAACTGGTGATATGTTGATGGTACGACTCTCATTTCGTGCAACTACGGTCTATGCAAAATAATGTTATATTTTATATCATCATCCACAACTTTGACGATAGTCATCTTCATCACCCCTTCAGCATTCATGAGTAGCACGATCTCTTCTCAGGTTGTCATGCTTACAAGGTTGAATCCGGCGAGGAGTTTTGTAGCCGGAATGATGCTTCAAGTAAGTTTTTCTTGCTCCAATATCCTCAATTGTATGATATTGGCTAAACTTCCTGGATCCACTAGAACACGTTTGATTTTAAAATCTTGTACATTTAAATATATTACCAATGCGTCATTGTGTGGTAGCAATAGTCTGTTTATGTCCTCCTCTATGAAAGTGATATCATCTTCAGCGACTTCCTGGAGTCTTTTGCTATGGTTTATTGATACCTTCGCCTTTTTTGTTGCCGAGNCGAATATCATGTTGATCGTCTGGAACCGGGGGTTCTTCTTATGTTTTCAAGTTCTTCGCATTATTATAGTTGCAGCCGTAATTGTTCTTGGCCCGATCACTTAAGAATTCTCTGAGATGGCCATTTTTCAACAATTTCGCCACGTCTTCACGCAGAAGTCGGCAGTCTCCAGTCTAGTGGCCATTCATCCCATGGTATTTTCACCACAAATTGGGATCCATATGGCTAGGATCGAACCTCATTGGCTTTGGAAACAGTGCTTCTTCAATGTTCCTCATAGTCGATACCAACTCTACTACACTTACGTTGAAGTTGTATTTTGATAGCCTGGGGTAGGAAGGATTTCGTGTACCTGACGCTTCTTTATCGTGCAATGATCTATTGTTCCGACCGCGATCAATTCTTCTATCGATAACGAACCCGTCTGTCTATTGGAAACCTCTGACGCATCCTTTGGACCGTTTATCTATGTTGAAATTGTCTTTTAATTTTTCTTTATTCTTCTCCCGACCTTTTGCCAATGCGTGGAAGCCAATCTGGTCATCTTCAATCCTTATCTTAGACTCGTATCGGTTGTGAACATCTGCCTAAGTCATCACTTAGAACTCAGGAAAGCTTTTCTTCAATTTCTGGGAGCGTTAGAATTCTCGGATTCATACCCTTAGTGAATGCTTCAGCGCCTATTCATCCAAAATAGCTGGGAGCAAGATCCTCTACTTTTGGAATCGGATTACGATTTCCAACAGCAACTTGGACTCTCCTGTTGAAATTCTGAATATGTTGGCTTTTTCGGGCCTGCACCTTTCTTGTTACGCCCCGCAATATTACGTCGATTGATAATAGGCTAGATTTATGTAATTTGACGACTATTTATGCCCCAGCTTGACTATGTTTCACTGTTATAGGATAGTTAAATGATGATAAATTGGCTCTAATTGTGAATTTTGTGATTTGCAAGAGCGAGTTGCGTGCATGAGAACTTAGAACTGTGATTGGAGCTAAATAAAAGGAAGGGAAGCCCCTCGAAGCTGAGTATGTGGGAAGAAGAGAGAAAGAAGGGTTGAAATGGTGACCCAGATTAGCGCACCCACTAGTGCGACCGCGCTAGCCCATCAGTTCAAGGCAGAATGATAGGCTATATGCGCGGTCATTAGCGCGCCCATTAGCACGACTATGCTAGCCCAGTTCCAGAAAAATAAAGTTTAGGGGTAAACTTGGAAGTTCGGGGGTAAATCCACTTAACCTATAGAAGGCCTAGCTCTCCCAAAGGAAGATTATCAAGGTTTTCATAGCTTAGTTCAAGGCAAGGAGAGGCAAGAGGTAAGGAGGATAATTCAACATTGAGTTCTTCCTTTCTTCCTTTTATGTTTTACCAATTGTGATGAATCTTTATTATTGTTATGATGAACACTAGTATCAGTAGCTAAATATTTAGTCTAGGGTTTTAATAGAACCTATTGAAGGATGAACTTCTTGTTATGTTAATATAGTTTGCCTAGTTTAATCTCTATTTGTTCAACTACATTCTTGTTGTAGTTAATTGATAGGATCCTCAATTAGTTGTTCCTATTTAGTGTGCATAACTAGGGAAAAAGTGCATATTTAGCTAATTGTTGAACAACACCACTCCCAAAGTATATGAGGGATCAATAACCGAGGGTTTAAAGTTGGGATTAGGGATAATGAAGCCTTAGGTGCATTCTAAAGTGAGTTGTAATAAACAAAGCCAACTAGCGTAACTCGGGAGAGTGCGTCTAGTAAATTGTCGTGATTACTCGGGAGAGATTTATGGTAATAAGAGTGCTTGTGATTGATAGAGACGATTAGGCAATTCTATATGAAACATAACCGGAAGGGATTTCATGAATAGGGGAAATCATAACCTTAGATCCTTCTCTTGACTGTTTACACCTTAATCATAGTTAATCTTTATTTGAGTAATTACATTCAGTCTTAGTTAGTAGAAACATCCTCAATTGTTATTCAGAACGTTTGGGAAGTTGACTATGTAGAATTTCGTAAGTCTAACAAGAGTAATTGATAGGTTAATTCCTTATGGGTTCGACTCTGAGCTAAATACTCAGATTATATTTGCAACATTCGCTTAGTCCTTTTTATAAGGCATAGTTGGGTGTGATCAAATTTTGGCGCTATTGCCGGGGAATTAACGGTGTTATCAATTACAATTGAAAGAAATACAAAAATTCTTAGTGTATTCAAGTTTCTCTATACTCAATCTATACATTGAAATTTTAACATTTGTTGACTTGGTAGTATAGGTGCACGCCTAGAAACTCATCGAGAACTAGTGAAGTATTTTAAGCATTATCAGATCCCGAGAAAGTTTACAAGGCCTTGAATTGGGCCAACCAGGAAAACAAACAACAACAAACAACTGAACAATTCGAACCAGACAAGGGGGATAACATAGTAAACCTAGTAGCCCCAGTGGCACCTCTTGTGCCAGAGGTTGCGCTATATGAATGGTCACAACCCACAACAGAGAACTTGGCCACCGCGATTTTAGTCCCGCAGATACAGGCTGAATCATTTTAGATCACGAACAACATGCTACACTTGTTGTGGAACAAGGGATTATTTTCGTGGTCACAAATCGAAGATCCTCAACAGCACTTGAAGAATTTCCTATCAATCTGCAAAACTCAAAGGCAGACCAACGTAACTCAGGAAGCAATCAAGTTGTTGTTGTTTCCATTCTCAGTGACAGGAGCTGCCCAGAGTTGGCTAAACTCACTCCCTATAAATTTCATAGCAACTTGGGAGGAGTTAGTCAAGCAATTTGTGAACAAGTTTCATCCACCCAACAAGACTGCTCAACAAATCGATGAAATATTGAGTTTCAAACATAGACCAATGGAGACACTGCAAGAAACATGAAAAAGATTCAAAGGGATGTTGGTTATATGTCCACACCATGGTATTCCATATCAGATGTTGGCGCAGCGGTTCTACATGGGTTTGGCAGATGGCATGAAAGGTAATGTTGATGCTTCAGCTGGTGGAGCATTTTTTAGCAAAACATGGAGAGAAAGTCAGAGGCTACTTGATAAGATGGCACAGAATTCGGGGTGGACGACCAGGAATGCACCTATCACTCCAGTGGTTCACTCAGTGCTCTTGGATCCATCCAACACTCTTGCTGAAAACATGGCCACGTTAATGACACAAATGAGTATACTCACTAAAAAGGTGGAAGAGTCAGGGCAGAAGCAGCAGGTACACATTGTAGATACTACTAATGGGGGCTTATGCACATCTTGCATTAGTCATCCAATTGGTAACCAGTGGAATGTAGAAAATAATCATCATCACTACCCTGAGGACATGAATTATGTGTCTAATTATGGAGGCCAGAGATAGGGTGGTCAAAATTGGGGCCAACAAAATCAGCCGTACAGACCAGTCCAGCCACAGTTCAACAATGGAAACATGGGAGGTATGAGACCTCCCAATAATATGGCGCCTTATCAAAGGCCACAGGGATACAATAATCAAAATCAGCAACAGGGGTATCACCCTCCTCAGCAGCAGCATGGTAGACGGCAGGAAGATGGGTTTGCTAGACTCGAGGTAATGATGCAGCAGGTTATTGGATCAAATGCAAAAATGAGTGAAAGAGTAGATGCACATGATTCAGCTATCAAGAATATCGAAGTGCAGATGGGCCAGATTTCGATATCTCTAAAAAATCATCCTCATGGGACATTACCTACAGACACTCAAATAAATCCAAAAGATCAAGGCCTGAAGCAGCTGATGGCAGTGAGTCTACGTAATGGCAGAGACTTAGACTTGGAGCAAAAGAGGGCTCGAGAAAGCAGACAGGCTGAGACACTTGTACCAGTGCCCATTGAGCTAGACGAGTCAACAAAATTGACTGAGGTGACAGTACAGCCTGCCCAAGAAGAACATAACACATAGATCGAGGCTAAGAAAGAAGCTGAGATAGCCCCGGAACCAGTAGTTGAGGTGGTAGCTAACAAAGAGAATACCCAAATCATTGGGAAGAAGAGACCTCCCGTACCATTCCCACATAGGCTAGCCAAGTACCAAAAAGAGGAACAATACAAGAAATTCTTAGAGATGCTGAAACAAATCCAGGTAAATATTCCATTGATAGATGCTTTGAAGAAGATGCCTGGTTATGCAAAAAGGATGAAGGACTTGATGTCCCGAAAGTTCGATTTCCAAGAACTGGCCACGGTGACACTGACTCTAACCTGCAGTGTGGTGGTGACGAGACCAATTACTGAGAAGCTATCTCATCTAGGGAGTTTCACAATTCCATGTACCATTGGTAATTTTGCTTTCGCCAAAGCGTTGTGTGATTTGGGGGCTATCATAAATCTTATGCCATTGGCGATCTATAAGAGGTTGGGGATTGGAAGAGCTAGATCCATTTCTATGTTGTTACAGCTGGCTGATAGGACCGTGAAAAGACCCTCTGGTATCTTGGATGATGTGTTGATTCAGGTAGGGAAATTTGTGTTCCCTGCAGATTTTGTAATTCTAGATTGCAAGGTGGATGAAAAGATCCCCATAATTTTGGGAAGGCCATTCTTGGCCACTGGGAGAGCTCTCATTGATTGTGAGACTAGGGAGCTCAAGATGAGGTTGAACGATGAAGAGATAACATTCAATGTGCAGAAATCTATGAGGCGACCAAGTGAATTCGCCAATTGTTCTATTATTGATGTCGTGGATGTAATCGTAGAAGCTGATGATGAGATGTTGACTATTGAGGACCCTCTTGCTGCATGTCTGGTAAATTTAGATGAGGTGAATGGGGAAGAACTGGCGGAATGGATATTTGCTTTAGAGGGTATAGGGTTCTGGGATAGAACTCTTGAATTTGAGCCCCTACACTTAGAAAATAGAGAAACTCCTCCAGCCAAGCCATCCATTGAAGAACCACCAAAGCTAGAATTGAAGCCACTGCCCGCCCATCTCAGGTATGAGTTCCTTGGACCTAACTCCGCATTACCTGTTATTATCTCATCTTGTTTGTTAGATGTGCAAGCACAACAACTCTTACAGGTACTCAAGGAGTATAAGACTAACATTGGGTGGACCATGGCAGACATTAAGGGGATCAGCCCAACCTATTGTATGCATAAGATTCTGCTAGAAGAGGGAGACAAACCTTCTAGGGAACACCAAAGAAGGTTGAACCCCAACATGAAGGAAGTGGTGAAGAAAGAAGTGATAAAGTGGTTAGATGCGGGAATCAATTTCCTAATCTCTGACAGCAGCTGGGTTAGCCCGATGCAATGTATGCCTAAGAAGGGTGGCATGATGGTGGTCAAAAATGATAACAATGAACTAATCTCTACGAGAACCGTCACGGGCTGGAGAATTTGCATGGACTATAGAAAGTTAAATCTGGCCACCAGGAAAAACCACTTCCCACTTCCCTTCATTGATCAGATGCTAGACAGATTAGCAGGGAGGTCTCACTTCTGTTTTCTGGATGGGTACTCATGGTACAATCAAATCTCCATTGCACCAGAGGACAGAGAAAAGACCTCCTTCACTTGCCTATATGGCATTTACGCTTTTCGGAGGATGTCGTTTGGCCTATGCAATGCACCCGCCACATTTCAAAAGTGCATGATGGCCATATTCACTGACATGGTAGAGGACATAATGGAGGTATTCATGGATGATTTCTCAGTGGTGGGGAACTCATTCGATAAGTGCCTTATAAATCTGACTCGTGTGCTGAAACGGTGTATTGAGACTAACCTGGTTCTTAATTGGGGGAAGTGCCATTTCATGGTACAAGAGGGCATAATCTTGGGGCACCGGGTATCACGTAAAGGAATCGAGGTGGATCACACTAAATTTGACGCGATAGTAAAGCTGCCAACTCCAACTTCAGTCAAGGCAATCAAGAGCTTCCTCGGGCATGCCGGTTTTTACCGGAGATTTATAAGAGACTTTTCAAAAATTGCCAACCCTCTCTGTAAGTTGTTAGAAAAAGATCACCCCTTCTTGTTTTCTGATGATTGCAGGGTAGCATTCGAGGAGTTGAAAAAGAGGCTGGTCATAGTACCCATCATTGTTGCCCCCGACTGGGAGCAACCATTCAAACTCATATGTGATGCCAGTGACTATGCAGTGGGGGTAGTGCTGGGACAGCGAAAAGACAAGCTAATGCATCCAATATACTATGCCAGTAGAATGCTTAGTGGAGCCTAGCTGAACTACACTGTGACTGAGAAGGAGATGTTGGATGTGGTGGTTGCTTTCGACAAATTCAGATCATACCTGATTGGCTCTAAGGTAATAGTATACACTGATCATGCAGCTCTCATGTACTTGATTGAGAACAAGGAGTCTAAACCGTGCCAGATTCATTGGGTGTTGTTACTGCAAGAGTTCGACCTCGAAATTTGTGACCGTAAGGGCACAGAAAACCAAGTCACTGACCATCTATCACGACTTGAGGGAGCTAAAAACTCAGTTGAGGTTGAGGATATTCTGAAAACCTTTCCAGACGAGCAACTTCTCGCTACAAGTCTTGAGGAAGTGCCATGGTATATAGACTTTGCAAATTACCTGGCCAGCGGTATAGTTCCCTATGACCTTTCCTCTATAAAAAAGAAAATGTTTTATCGTGACTGTCACATATATTATTGGGATAAACCTTACCTGTTTCGAATATGTGTTGACAATATGATCCGGAGGTGCGTCCCCTAGATAGAACAATCTTCTATTTTACAGGCATGTCACGCATCGGTGTATGGAGGGCATTTTGAAGGAGTCAGGGCAGCCGCAAAAGTGCTAGAGGCCGGTTTCTTTTAGCCAATAGTGTTTAAAGATGCACATCAATGGGTGAAGGGCTGCAATGAATATCAGCGAATCGGGAACATTTCCCATTGCCATGAGATGCCCATGAACCCGATTCAAGAGGTAGAAATGTTTGATGTCTGGGGGATTGACTTCATGGGACCCTTCGTCAGCTACTTTGGAAATAAGTACATACTTGTTGTTGTAGATTACGTGTCCAAAGGGGTAGGAGCTACAGCATTGCCCACTAAGGATGCAAGAGTGGTGGTAGGGTTTTTGAAGAAGAACATATTTACCTGTTTTGGGACCCCGAGAGCGATTATCAGTGACGGAGGCACCCACTTCTGTAATCGAGCCTTCGAGAAGTTGCTAGCAAAGTATGATGTATGCCACAATGTGGCAACACCATATCATCCGCAAACCAGTGCACAGGTGGAAGTGTCTAATAGAGAGATAAAGAGTATATTGACCAAGACGGTAAATGCTACAAGAACTGATTGGGCGAAAAAGTTAGATGATGCACCCTGGTCTTATAGAACTGCTTTTAAAACACCAATTGGTGTGTCACCATATAAGCTGGTGTTCGGGAAGGCCTGCCACTTGCCAGTGGAACTTGAACATAAAGCTTGGTGGGCACTAAAACAGTTGAACCTAGACATTGAGGCTGCGGGCACAACGAGAATCACTGAACTGCATGAGCTTGACGAATTCCGATATCTGGCTTTTAAAGGAGAACAAGGTTGTACAAGGAAAAAATGAAGCGATTGCATGACCAGAACATTGTTGAGCGACATTTCAACCCCCGGGACAAGATATTGCTCTATAACTCAAGATTAAGGCTATTCCCGGGCAAGCTCAAGTGACGATGGTCTGGTCCACTTCGAGTGGTCGAAGTATTCTGTTACACCCGATATTTTCGTAAATGAAAATACGCTATAACTAAATTAATAAGAGCCCAGAAGTGAGATGTCACATTCTGCAGTACTACATTACGATGATGTTGCACCTTGTAGTATAGCACGTGGAATTTATCGTAAGGTAATTGACATCAGTCCAAGGAAAAGATTATTCGGAGAATATAAGGATTATGCTATTTAAAATAAGTGATTAGTAAATTCACGAAGGTTAAAGGGGGAGCAAGTCAAAGAAAATGAATTTTTGTCCAAGTTTGGCATTTTGGGGTAAAATACAGCCCGAGTTAAAATACCCGATATTTATGGACTAGTGTCATACAAGGTACTACATGACCATACTAGTAAGGTGTATAAGGTATGTGAAAAGGGAGTAATAATTTAAGTAATTTGTGGTAATTCTTAATTATGCGGATAATTGGTTAATTAACGAATAGCGGGATATTACCTAATTAATTAATTGATTATTGGATAAAGTTTAACTCCCCCAACAAGGAAAACGTGGCAGCTCACTAAACAAACATAGTGACTCATACAAATACTTGGAATGGCGTCACTTTCAATAGTAATTGGATCTGACAATATGATTACACTACCATTTCTAATTTACACATTGATAATAGAGAATTGAAGATCTTTAACTATTAAAAAGGGAGGATAGAAAGTAAATTATATTGATAAAGAAATATGTCTTAGCAAAAACTATAGTTGGAACCAACTTACCAAACAACAAAGTGTCTGAGCTTCTACTAGCCATGTACTCATAAACTACTAGCTTCGCTTTCCTGTGAACGCAATAGGCCGATATTCTAATGAGGCCCATGTGCTGCAGTTTAGAGATTAGCAAGACTTCTTTCTTGAACTCTTCAAATTGGTTTGCGTAAGCTTAAGGATGCATATATAATTTCTCTGAATGCTAACTATTTCATTCATGCCACCCGGAGGGGAAGTTTTGCAAGATTCATAAACCATTCTTGCCTTTCAAATTGTGAAACAAGGAAATGGACAGTGTTAAGGGAAACAAGGGTAGGAATATTAGCAAAGCAAGATATATCTGTTGGAATGGAGTTGGCATATAACTATAATTTTGAGTGGAATGGGGGTGCAACTGTTCGATGTCTATGTGGAGCTACAAACTGTTCTATATTTCTAGGTGCCAAGTCTCAAGGATTCCAGGAGTACAACCATGTTTGGGAAGATGGGGATGTCAGAGTTGTATTGTTCATTTCTGCCATCTGGTTCATGCGGCTCATGTCTCAATTGCTCAAGGGGTTTGGGTATGTTAAGGCTAAGCTCTTCTTTCATTTAGCATGATCTCGTCATTACATTCATATCCCGAAATTTACGTATATTTTGCTAGTCTCGCAAATTGCGTATATTTTGCTAGTGTTGTATGTTATAATATTCTCCTTATCGAGATTTCATATTCAGTTGAGTATTTCCTTCTTCCAGTCAAGAGAGCAGAGAAGTTACATATATATAGTATTAAAAGTATTTTCATTACCATCGAGCTATAATCGATGGGCAGACCCCTATTGGGCAACCTTTGATTAGATGGTAAGTTATATACCGAGCCTACTGTGGTATAGTGCGTATGAGCGAGCCCATTTGGTCGAGATACAGAGCCTAGTATGGCCGAGCGCTTATGAGCGAGCCTACTACGGCAGAGCAGTTATATATATATCGAGCCTACTGTGGCCGAGCACTTATGAGCGAGCCTAGTTGGTCGAGATACAGAGCCTAGTATGGTCGAACGCTTATGAGCGAGCCTACTACGGCAGAGCAGATATATATGTATACTAAGCCTTATTGGGTTGGACAACTACTTTACTTACTATATTGAGAGAATTGAGTCAGTATCAGCAGGTAAGCATATCTTCAGATTATCTTTGACTTCCAGCTACTTGCAGTTATTATATTATCAGTTCAGTTTCAGCTTTCAGTATATTGCCTTACATACTCAGTATGTTATTTTGTACTGACGTCCCTTTTCTGGGGGCGCTATATTTCATGCGTGCAGGTCAGACAGACAAACGAGTAGGCCTCTTCAATAAGTGTTGCCCGAGCTCAGCTTGATCGGTAAGCTCCATGCCTTTCAGAGTTTCCGGGTCTAGAGCCTTATGTATATCTTGTATATATTCGTATATATGTCATGAGTAGGTCGGATAGCCGTTCTGATCATAGTATATCCATTAGTAGAGGCTTGTAGACATATCTTGTCAGTTAGTGCAGTATGTTGGGCTTTCAGGCCTTTTATATATATTTGGTTGGTTTGTCAGTTGTAATAAATATGACGGCCTTGTTGGCTAAGCTTTATATTCATATTTAGTCAGTATTCGTTGTCGTCTTGTAATGTGGCCCATGGCCAAAAGTATGACATCATATGTTCAGAGTTCCTTAGTTACAAGTTGGTACGCAAGGATAGGTAAGGCACTGGGTGCCGGTCTCGCTCTCCCAAGTTCGGGGCGTGACAAAGTGGTATCAGAGCAGTTCTATCCTAGGGAGTCTACAAGCCATGTCTAGCAGACTCTTGTTTATGGGTATGTCGTGCACCACACTTATAAGTAGGAGGCTACAGGGCATTTAGGATTGTCACTCTTTCTTTTTACTCTAGATCGTGTGGTAGGGCTCACTTATAAGAATTCAAATTCAGAAATTCTATATTATTCGTAATAAGATGATACATACATCCGGAAAGACAGTTGGAAAGGGAGATAGTTGTGGAAGAGTTGAGTCAGAGGAATTCAATTTTTGTATGATGCATGCGATGAATAAATATGAGGTCTTTAGCAGATCATGGGTGTACTGAAAGGTGTAAGCTTTCTGATAAGAAGCCTTAAGGCAAGAATGCCTATCCATCTTTATGGTGAAGGACAATGAGAGATTAGGAAGATAAGTACAAGTTTCAGCAAGTAAAAGGAGCAAGGTGAAAAAGTGTACGAGATACCTAGTTAATGAAGGTTAACAGCGTTTATAATTGAGGCAGAGTAACATAAGCTTTTTGAGTTATATTCAATAGTAACAGAGGTATATACAATTGGTCACACCCTTTCCAGATATGTCCTATAGGGGTTAACAAAAGTAGTATAAGAAGATATGATGGATGAATTGATTGCGTCAGTTGACATTTCCATAGGATATTGCAAATGTGCTAATAGATCTAGTGCAGCCAGATATGAGTACTACAAAGACTTGCACTATAAGCCTTGAAGGGATAAATATTACCTTAGTGTGGCTTGCGTCCCTAGTAAAGCAAAAACGTTAAGCAACTTGAAGAGCCACTGGATGGAGCAAAGGAAATCTAAAAGCGAAATAATGTCGTATTGAAGTTTTCACAAGAAAAGGGATATGAAGAAATATTAGTAGAATAATGAGAAGAGAGATAAGGAAGTATTATGAATAAGGTATGATACATTGATGAAAATGGTAGAGTGTTATAGAACCTATTGTCAAATGAAGGAAGAGACGAAAGGTGATGGGACTTAAGACAATAAAAGAATATAGGCCATAAGTTCATATCCCCATTTCGAGAAATAAGTTCGCAACTCTAACGCGATTACCAAGAGGAAAAGTTAGATCCCAAAGTAATATAAATTAATATGGACTGGTGAACAAGATAAACTAAATATGAATTAGGAAGTGAGTGATTTGATAATAGTCAGCATCTTGAGAATTTCAGATCATGTTCCGGCAATAATAGGACGGACCACAGAAGGAGATTCACGATAAATTCAGAGGAAAATCATTCAGGAAGAAGCTTCCCTAGAGCAAGCAATGTGAGCAAAGTTAAGTTTAAGAGACTGTATGTGCCAGTTACGCTATGTGTCAACCTCTCGAGTAAGGGAATTTGTCATCCTTTTTATAGGAGAATTGCCGCAAGGCGAGTAAGGATCATTGATGTTGAGAAACGATGCCAAGGATGAAGAGGGAAAACATTTATAGGTAGATCCTCATGGCTTCAACTTTTAGTACACCCCTAAAGGGAGGAATATGGAGTGATGTGACATTAAGTTAGAATTAAGTGGTTCTAGTGACTATGGAATAGTAAAGGAAGTAAAGGTACCTGCTCGAGCTGTTATTAATAAATAAGGAGCCAGTGCGAGACGTAAGTTAAAACAAAGAAAATAACCCAAGAAAGATTACAAGGAACATTGATATGAGAATGGGCCAACGAGTAGTTAGTAATTGGTCAGAATGACCCCAATTATGGCTAAATAGGAGGTTACAGACAAGTCATCAAATCGTGTAAGATAAACATAGTAGAACCCATCATGGAGAATTCAACCTCGAAGAATATCATTATAATACTTGAAGTATATTCAAACAAGCGTCGGGGTAGTTAAAGGTACCATATGAGTGTTACGGGGATAAAAGAAAGTGACACTGGGAAGGCAGTTAAAACATCAGTTCAGAAGCAACTATACAATCACAAAGGCATAGAAGTAAGCAACTACGAATGATTATAGGCAAGTAAGGACATCAAGAAGGTCCGTAATAAGCTCACAGCTTTACAAGAGTCAAGGGTTCTCCCTAAGTACTACAACAAAAGACTAGCTGAGGAAATAAGGAAGAAAGCTTCAACCTAAGCACAATGACCTAAAAAGAAAATGGTTGTGTAACAATAGTTTCGCAACAATATTGTAAGCACTCCAAAAGAAAGTGGCACCTTTCGTGGCTAATGAATGGGAAGTAAGAATTAAAAGTAATTGCATACGTTTTAAGAGAGGTGAGATGGAACGGAAGGAATTATTCAATCAATGATCCAGAGTTAGTACGTTATGGACACACTCAAGATTTTGGAGCATTATATTTATTGGCAATCATACAG